TAGCTGCGAAACTAGATCAAAGATTTAAGTCTGTCTGTCTAGATCTAGATCTAGACCATAGATCTAGAAGAACCTAGGTCTACCCTGAGCCAAGAGGGCGCTGAAATCTGAAACTCTCCGAAATCACAAAAGAGTTCCTTTACCGGGTCTGTATACTTTGTGACTTTGTTCCCGGTTACCGGGTCTGTATACACTCCCTTAAAAAAAAAACTTGGTTGATAAAGGGGCAGAACTGTCTAGTTTCTCGCTGAAAGAAACAGATTTACCACAGTAGCGTCCCTTTGCATAAATTCTTAACTTGGAGACACAATTATTAATCATTCTGTTTATTCAGCAACGCCTGAAGAGTATTAAATGACAAAATGTTTTAGGGCATGCATATAGACCTAGTATTATTCAAATAGACTTTTAATTTTTTTTGTCTATCTGAAAATTTAAAAGGCACCCAATGACGTGCACGCTATGAAATAATCATGCAACCATGTTACATGTCGTACTGATACGTGTACGGTGTTTCGAAATGTGCTGGATCATTGTCTCTGCTCTGATGCTGATCGGAAATGCATATAACATGTATCATGTTTTTCGTTTGTGTTTTTTTGTTTTTTTGTTTTGTTTTTGGTAAGTATTTTACGGCACTCGCAAACTGCATAAAGTCATATGAGCGCGCGGGACACATTAAACAGTTTCAGTTTGTAGGAAATTTTGAATTTTGCCCTGGTGGTGTGAAGCCTACTCTTGTCGATTTTAAACCACCAAGGGATCTTTAACGTGCGTAACGTGAACATGGGACCTCCGAAATTTTTTGCCCTTGTCCGTGAAGGCTAGGTGTAGATCTTTCGTACCAGAAGATCAGGGATGTTACTGAAAGACGGCAGTAAGAAGGAGCCAAGGAGTAGTAGTAGAAAGGCTGCAGAAAGAGTCAGGAGCCCAGAGGAAGGGGCAAAGGGGGTGAAGGGGGTGTGGCAGAAAGTGGAGGCGAAAGAGGACGACAGAACATTGCTAAAGAGCAGGAAAGGAGGTGAAAGTAGACAATTTTTAGAAAAGAAAATTTTTCAATCGCTACCTAGATTCGAACCCGGGACCTTTGAATTAGAGGCGAACACCTAAACCTCTAGGCCACGAGAGCCCCCTGGATGATTTGTGTGTGGTGTGTCGATATGTGCCGAAACATTGTCTCTGCTGTGCTGCTGATCGGACATGCATAAATACATGTATTATTAATTGTCCGCTGCGTTCTTAACTCATTGGGAACGTACATTCTTGGTCATTCAACAACTCTAGAAGACGCACTGTTTTGTGGTGTTAACAACAACAACAACAACAACAACAACAACAACAACAGCAACAGCAACAGCAACAACACAACAACTTCCTAATCCTTACAGATTGTCAATTCTGTTTTCTGTACAAATCTGAAACTTAAAACGGCAGACAGCTTAAACTTCACACTTCAAAGTATTCATTGTATAATATTATGATGGCTTCAATGCACCGCAACATTGCCTTTGGTGTGGACTGGTCGGACATATAATTATAATAACCATGTGTCCGTTGTGGCCCCAAGGAGTTAAATAGTTGGCGGCACAGCCGACACGGAGCTATAATATATCCGACCAAGTAGTTAAAGAGTTAATTGTTAATTAGTCTTGGTTCTGTTTCAGCAGCAATACTCGTCGACATAGCGTTAACTTTTAGTTAATTGTCTGCTACAGCTGTAGATAACATCGTCGATAGTGTTGCTGTCGTCACTCTTGTCAGTTTATCAATGGTTGTTGATGCTGTAGGCGCTTTTTATATTATTGTCGTCGTCTTCGTCGTTGTCGTTGTTGTGGTCGTCACTTTGCTGTTATTTTGTTGTGTTGGCTTTCCTTTTGGCGGTTGTGGTGTTGTGGAAGGGATAGGAACAATAATTCAGGGATGGATATTCACCAAAAATTTTCGGAATTCCGAATTAAAAAAAAAAAATGCCGACGATTGTACTGATGCATTGTGGGTTTGAACAGTTTCTTGCTGTGGGAAAGTGGGTGTGGACAAACTATTGTTGCACTGCACTTGAAATAGTTACATACTACCATTTCTCCTCCTATTTGAACATGAGAACATGAACATGAAGGGAAAAGAATTACTGCTTGACCATCAAACAATAACATTGATCTGACCTGTAGAAGCATTCATTGTAATGTAAGTATTTAGATAAATGTAGGCTTCTGTATTTTAAAATTTTATCAATTATGTTTGTTACCTAGTGAAATAACACTTTATTGTAATTCTTTTTTTTTTAATATTCAAAACACTCTCAGAGACTAATCAAGTTAAAAACGTTTAATTTCTTCC